GGGCATACAGCCGTGCTGCCCTTTCTTAGTTGCTCGAAGTCGTGCCTGCTGCCTGTATGGCACCTTACTTGGAGAAGGGGTGTACACGAAGGATAGTGCTACTGAAATACAGCTCTTTGGGGTGTAAAGGCCCAAGCTGCGGGCACAGGGTTTATTGCCTGTGAGGCAGGGTGAGGGGTTTGCTCCTGTGAAAAGGCCTGGAACTTTTGTTCTTACATAAAACTGTCTTCATTGGAAAATAATATTTTAAATTGTATGCTTGGAAGTGTATCAGTCTTTTGGATACCTATTACAATATATACAAAGCAAGGATTCTGTGGAGAGATTTTATCTTTCTTGTTAGACCAACTGATGTGGTTGGAAAGAAGACAATCCAGTACACACGCCTTTCTTCTGGTATGAAAATACAAGTGATTTATTTGAAAAGTTACACTTTTTTTTTATCTACTTCTCAAGCACAATGATACTTTAAAATACACTATTATTTTAAGTAGGTGTTCAAATAAACCAAGAGCATAGTTGAAACAACTTCTAAATGTACCCTCCCATCTCTGTCTAATTGGCTGTGCCAAAAGCCCTCGCTGAAAGTATTTTACCCTCAGCTGAGTATGAAGTCAGTGATTATCTCCCACTGTTTTTCACCTTTCACTGCATCCCTTTTTTAAAATACTTTTTAAAATAGCACAAGAGACCTAAAATTGTGCTGACATTTTGAAAATCATTTATCTTATGGAGAAACATGGCCATCATTCTTACAATTTATTATGCATGAGGGGGATCACTGTCTCACAGAGCTCCAGTGAAGCTGTGGACAGATGCAATAGTCCATCTGCATGCAACAAATGTAGGGCTTATGCCTTAATTAGGATTGTTCTTCTACTGAATCCTCCTCTCTGTTTCTTTCTCTCTTTGTTTGTCTTTGCTTTCTGAGGAAGTGATTTTACTGGGATAACACAGAGGCTGTGGTATGATTCCTGTCAGTATTGAAATGGTGAAGACAGATGACTTCAATCTACAGAGCTGTCAAACTACAACCTAATGCCTTCCAATCCCTTTCAAAGGTACACATTTCTTTTAGGTATAGTTAATTTTATTTACCATTTTGTATGTAAAATTTAACAGTAGAAGCATTCCCATCATATTTTTTTTTAATTCTACTGACAGCAAAACAAACAGGAAAACAGCCAAACAATTCCTTTAAAATCAAAGCACTGTGGCACCAAGAACGTGAAAATGAAATGGCTGCAAAACAAAAGTGGAACTAAACTCAGTGTCCTTGACAGTGATCAAATAAATGAAACAATGACCTTAAAGGATGCAGGGACAAACCTCTTGTCCCTGGGGGACAAGATTTGTCCCTGCAGGGACAAATCTCAAACAATCTTATTTTAAAATTGCTAAAATGTGGCTCATGGATAACAGAGGGGAAATTCTACTCTAATGAAAGCAATAGATTCTGAACATAAATATTGCCAAAAAAATAGGTAATGAGAAATCAGGCACAACCACAAACCAAAATGTTATTGCCCTCAGCTCTGCTGCTTATGACAGAAATAACTAAGGATATTTTTTCCACAGACCTCTTGCTCTGAGAGAACAAGGGAAAATTTACCTACAAGGGATTTTTTTTCTGCAAAAATTCATAGGAAGACAGTTAATCAACTATGGCCTACTTTAAAACTGACAATCTGATCAGAAACACATTTAAGACACACCTCTCCCTGGTTTATAAACCTACCTTTTTGTGTGGACAGAAAAGAATTGCAGACAACAGATGATATATTTAAAATATTTATTTAAAATGATAAAAAGTATTTCATAGTGTTTGTCAGTGCCAGATACAAGAGTAAGCATAAACTTAAGTCCTAGTGTTCGCAATTGTGATTTTTCAAGGTATATTTTAATATAACTTTGTCACACAGTGCTGGAACTTTTAAAATATCACTGAAAAATATTGAATTGAAAAGCCAGTATGATCTACTGAAAGGCAAGAATCCCAAGTTCCTTCTGAGCAAAGCCAGGTTTAGAGTTTTTTTCGCCCATAGTTTAGTGCATCCTGAACAAAGATTTTAAAATGTATTAACAAGATTGATTAGAAAATAATAAGCAAAGGGAATTTTTGCAATAAGACTCAGTTATTTTTATCTTATATACAATGGAAATAGGACTTTTATGACCACCTTCAATGCAAGGTAATTTATTCAGTGCTCTGAGATTCTGGATATGGTTTCAGATGTCCCATAAAGACACAACAGTACTGATGCTGGTGGGAATTTTCTGGAGTATTGTCCTTGTAGATTACAAATAAAAAATTGATATATTGTCTAAGTGTCATGTGTCAATAATCTGGGATTTGTTTGTGAAATTTACTGTTTTAACTCCTGCCAGCTGCAAAACTGTGTTAATGGGAGCATGATCCAACCTGTGTTTATCAAGGTGCAAAAAATGAACTTCATTACCTGGAATGGAATGAGGAAAAAAATGTCAATAGTTGAATAAAATATTCATTTATTTTAAGATATAAGTGAATCAAAGAAGCATTCTGATTTCCTACTAGTTCTTATAAAACTGTGCACTAGCTCTGTAGATTTCACAATATACTGTATTTTAAACTATGGCATGGATTTTTTTAATTAAGATTTTTTAAGTTATAGAAAGAAGGGGCATTGAGGGATGTAACTCAATTAAATCTACCATAGCAGGATGCTTCCCAATGATTCAATGAGATGATTTTGTCACGTTATAGCCTCCCTTCATGCTTTATTCCTCTATTAAAAACACATTAAATGCCTAAGATCAAATGTAAAAGTGGAGTGTAAGCAAACATGGAGATGTCAAAAAAAACCCCTCCAAACTTCAAGCCAGTCATTCCATTACACTGAAGGCAACACTCCTATTGATCAGGATGGTGATCAGCTTTGTGCCATCTCTGTGGGAGATGGAACGACACAGTGGCACTTCTGCAGCATTCTTCTGGATAGCAGACTCACGCAGCCAACGCACAACTCTCCTTCCTCCTTGGGAAGCTTCAGGACAGCGGCTGAGACAGAAGCATATAAGGCAAACAGCTGAAGGAGGGGACTGTAACGTTCAGACAGAACAAACAGGCTCGCCTGGGCCTAAAATCAAAGTTCCTCCCTGCTGAGCTGGGTCTCCTTGAAAATCAAAAGCTGAGCCAGTTATCGCTCTCCACATACTCCTAATATTTCCCAAGAGCATGTTTGATTTTACATGAGGGCTCTGCACTAAACAAAACAGCAAAATACTTGTTACCTAGAAATACAAAACTACATAACGCAAAGCCAAAATTAAGCTGTTGCTATGAATAGCTTACAGTTTCCTGATTACTGAAGAAACAAAAGTTTCTCAAAGTTTAGACAAAGCAAAGTACAGCCTACAAGAGATGGTCTGGTGGGCAACTCCCTTCCTTTTTCCATCATGATCATATTAATTTACCAGAGTATTCTTGTTTTGTTCTGTGTAAGACAAATCAAGGTGAGAAAATTACTCTTACCTGATGTGTTGTTACCTTCACCTCTTTTCATGCCAAGTGTTTTATAAATTTCCCTTTGTGGATCCACATACATTTCATGTGTATACCCAGTTAAACTGCAAAAGGGCTGCAAAATATGTACATACAAAAAATAATATATTTAAGGTTAAGATAGTAATTAATTAGGATCTAATGACAGTGGAAAAGTATTCTGAAAAAATTCCGATTTTAAAACCTTCAAATCAGTCATGTTAAATGAAAGTAAAGGCCAAACATTTTTAGCTCTGAAACTTTTACTAAAACACAGCTTCCAGTGAAATCAAGCAAAGATTTTCCTGAACAAATGTTAGTAGATTTTAAACCAAAAGTTTTAGTTATTTGTTTTATTCATGTACTACTATTAACATTGCTTCATGGAAAATAATGACTCATTTTTTTCTGTGATTGTAAATGACCATCTTTTCCCTCAGAACAAAATCCTTCAGTGCAAATCATTAAGACATAAACACAATAGAGTATACAATTTACTTAGTGACTACTTTACCTTGATGTGATGATGACTGTCCAATAACTGTAAGCCTCACATTTGCATCCTAGAACAGAACATAAAGAGAAACAGAAACTACAAAGAAGAACTCAGTGTTTCTGCATGACTGCAAAACATTAGCAGAATCTAGTGTTCCGAGTTAGTCATCAGGGTGTACTGAGTTAAAATTATTTGAAATTAGTCACTTACATACTTGGAGCACTTACTTTTGTCTGTCATCTACAGTAAGTGGCTATACTAATTTATTAAGGGATAAATTATTTTTTTAAAGGTAGCTTTTAGGTTACAGGTATGTAAATCTTATGTTTTCTGTAGCATTAGTAGAGTCATATTTTCAACTGATTGCAAGCTGTTTATGATTTTGGAAACCTAAATTCCTACTGAATTTTACCTGCATCTAAAGAAGCAACATGCAAACATGCAAGTACCTCTGTGATTTACATATACCAATGCCCATTAATATGTATAACCTGCATCTACATGTACTGATATCTTTTGCAGGTGCAACACTGAGCCTAAAATACAGGCCAAACATAAGTTTATTTAGATGTCAGTAATACAGTTAATGGAATTTAAGGTTATTTGAATATTATGATATAATGCTTGCCCATTCCCAATAAAATCACTTTGCTTGTCAGGAAAAGAAATCCTCCTAAAAAATCAAATGCTCATACTAAAAAGAGCAAGGAAGAATTTGATTCTCTCTATATATTTATTTGAGCAGCCAAATTTAAAAAATGTCATACTGAGTAACATAAATTGAGTGGTTTAGAAAAATCTTGCCCTGAGAAGGGGAGCTGAAGCTTCTCTACTGAGAAGGGATCCTGAAGAAGTTGCTCCTCTACATCCCCAAGTTCCTATTCGATCTAAGGCCTGCCGTCAGTAAAGGAGCTGGGTCTCTGTCATCAGCTATGCTGCTGTTGGGAACAAAATTTCAATCAGCAGACTAGAAGAGACAGATTGATCTTTCTAATTTAGCAGAGGATCATTGACTTTCTCTGGTATCTCCTACCACTCAACAAATAACAGTTTGCAGCAACCCCTGCCTACTCCATTTCTCCTTTCTGTCACTATGTCACTCCTGTTTGTGCAGTTGCCTGGTGAACAGGTTACAGAACTGATGCAGCTTACAAATAACCTGTAAAAAAAGACTATTTTTAATCCAGATCAACTTCCTAACTTCCTGATCTTGTTCCATGCACCACCATCAGTCAGCTGTACCAGCATAATAGAAAGGGCAGTAGTTAGTTAGTGGTAGGGAATAGGTGGCTGCCCAGAGCAGTACTAATTTAGAAAGAAATGCCTGTCAAATATTGCCTAACTGTTCAGAACACAGTCAAAAAAAAAAAACAGCATCAAGCTAATAGTGCAGGGAGAAATAATGCTGCTGCAAATGAGCATGTAGTGCAATAGATTCCTTCATGTGTCTCCTAGGCAGATACATTATGGCAATTGTAGCAAACAATGAAAGTATTAACTTTGTTTTGAGCTTCTGTTTAATTCCTAGAAGGTTTAAACATCATGCAAGCCTGCAGCAGAAGATAAGAGATCCATGTGACTGCAGCAACTCCATGCACAAATACATATTAAAGGCATTGTACTTCTAAAAACTCTTGGGGACTTTTGCCAGGTCTTCTACATACTCCTTACAGGTGTAACATAAAAAAATTCTGCAACATAGCCAGTTGGACATGTCAGAAACAGACATAATGGCATAGCAATGAAGCATCAGAGTCTGACTTCAGGCACAAACCATTTTGGAGGTGACCAGGAAAGATTAAACTTCATTACAGCAGCCAAATTCAGATTAGGATCTTGGTTTTATCCAAGGCTGAACAGAGACACTGGGTTTGAGGCCTTTTTCTTATCACCAGGGATGCGACAGCTGGCTTATCAGCCAGGGAAATCAGGGAACATAATAGTTGTTTCCCTAAACACATGGTAGTAGACTTCTTTCCCTTCAGATAAAAGTTGTATCTTTTTACCAAAGAATGGGGGTTCCTGATCTGCTTTATGTTTTCTCTCTGCTCCAGACTAGCCTGTTTAAGGCCCCCTCCATTTATAGCCAAGCTAGAGCTCCCTGCATGTAACTTGTTTTCTAGTTTGCTCAAGTGCCTGTAAGCTCCAGACAGGCAAGCTAACCCTGCCTGGAAACTGCTCTCTCCTCACCCGCACAAACACCACGATCGCTTTCTGCTCCCCATACAGGGCCCTGAAGGGGATCTTTTTCCCTTCTGCATCTACCACCAGGCACCGGGCAGCCTCTCACGGTTCCTCCGGCTCCAGGTGCTGCGAGACATGCGTGCTGCAGATCTGCTGTGTGACCGGGGCTGCCGGAGGATGGGCCATGGCTGAGTGGCCTCACTCCAGCTCTCACTGTCTTTGCTTGGCCTTCCTGGCCTGGAAAAACAGAGGAAAAGAAAGATGGAGCCAGACAGAAAAGCTCAGGGGGGATGTGACCATGATGAAGTACTGAGGTTTGGTTGGGAGGGTATCATCATCTCTATTCCTGGAACAGATCCACCTCCAATAGCAGCAGGGTCAGCAGCTGAACGCTCCACGTCTGCGGACACTTCACTCACTTGAGTTGATGAGTTTGGGGCCTTTGAGTAAAAGAGATAAATCAGCTGCAAAAATCATTGCATATCAGGGGGAGCCAGAATGCAGTTTATTCCTGGAAAATATAACAAAACCAAACTGAACCTTCCAGAAATTATATGTAATCAGAGCACTGATGTTATTGTAAGGTCTCGAGATCAGGGTTCGCTTTGCAGAATGCCACAACAGTTCAGAGGATTGTGAGTGAACTGGAAAATTCTGTCTTCTAGGAACTGTCAAGCTGCTGCATCAGAAAGGGCAGAGCCTGTTTTCCTGTTTTGAAGTAAAAGCAGAACTTCATTTGACTTTGGCAGGTGAACAGAGATGCAGAGGATGCTGAGCAGTGCAGATGTTCACATTGGTACAGAGACAACACATAGAAATGAATGAACTGAATAGACCTTCTTAAAATAAGAAAAACACCGGACAGATGAAGAATATCTCAATCTGCAAGGGTACGTTGTGTTAGCTGAAAGTTCATGAAGAGGACAGCACCTTCTTTTTCTTAATGGAGAGAGAAAAAGAAGTATGAGAGGGAACAGGACTTGGGGGGGCAGGGGTCTCTAGAAGTTATTCTCCTTTCTGAGGCCCTCTGATGGTGTTAATTCTTGAGTGCCCCTTGGCAAACTGTCCCAGTATCTATACTGTTAATGTTTCTCAAACACAAATCCCCTGTACTTTGGATTAAGCCCATTGCTTCTTATGCTGTCTGAAGTGAGAACATAGAACAGGTTGATCCCTTTGCTGCATCAAGTTTTTGTCACTAGGCAGGCTATTGCAAGGCTGCCCTCAATCTTCTGTTTCCTAGACTAAACAATCCAATTTTTTTCAATTCTTTCTTCTCATAGGTCATGATTTCTAGAATACATTTTTTGTATTTTCCTCTGGACTTTCCAGATGGTTTCCATCATTCCTGAAGTTCAGAGCCTAGACACAATATTTCAGCTAAGTGGCAGGTTTACTTCACATGTCTCAGGGGCTGTACATCCATTTAAACATTCTGGTACTGCGGTTATCTTTTTTGCCACAGCACATTATTGACTTGCATTCAGCCTGAGGTCCACTATAACCCCCACCTACTTTTCGACAGGCCTTCCCTAACAGGGAGCACATTACTACCATTCCTCTGATAATACTCAGTGAAAGAAATTCTCTCTAACTTCAGAACGTCTGGAAGGTCAAATTAGCTCTATATAGGACATTTGCTGTTGAGGATGCAAACCACCTTTTACATCACATAGCATTTACCATAATCAGACCTTAGTCCTCATGGGCTCCTTGGTCCTTCACGTTATACTGTAATACACATAAATAATACTTCTGTTACTAAACTTCATTTCTTTTTCTCAGTGCTTAAATATTATCCTGATTTTAAATATTTGACTTATCTAGAAATATCTGAGGGCTTAAGTACATAGACAAATCACCCACAATCTCTGGTAACTTTTTCTGCATGTTATTTTAGGCTGTGGCAAATTTTAAGTGCCTTGAGTTTGTTTGACACGCAAAGACCAGTCTAAGGCAATATCTATGGTAGCAAGTAGTGCAGCATAATAAAAAAGGACCTGTAGAGCACAACATTTGGTGGTGAGGTCCTGAAGTCTGCAGTCCATACATTTCAGGTACTTTAACTAGCTTGCATCTCTACTTCAGACTAGCTCTGCTCTAGTCCAAAGTTCTATTAGCAGATGATATGTATTGTATCATCGAGTGTGTTCTCAGAGCATATTTTTGGTTTAGCCTTATCCAAAAGGCTATTTTTTGTGGTCTGAGATGTGACTCAAAGTCTAGTAAGTGAGGACAGTTAGGAAATTCACTTCCGAAGTGCCCTTCATATCCAAACAACAGTACTAAAGTATAAGCAACCTAAGCAAATTTGAATTACTGTTTGCTGTGGACTAAGAATGTGGATCCACAGAGTTAACATGGATCAGGTGATGTTCAATAACTTCTTACCCATGGCCATATATTTAAGTATCTAAGCTCTTGAGGCCCTGTCTTTTTTTTTTTTAATAATAAACTGAGTTAATTCAAATAATGAAAATATATAAGAACACAAACTACGCAAGAATATTGCCTTCTGACTTATGATTTATACTTATTTTTGCAAGGGAAAGCTATGACTAAAACCCCATTGCCTCAGACATTCTAAGTTAGACTGGGCAAATCATTACCAAGTACTCTTAGGAGTAAGAGTAAAATGGCAGGGAAATGGATTAAATGACTGATAGGCAACACACAGGCAAGCGTGGGACTCAGGATGGTGCAGCCCGTAGAAGAGGGGTTTGCTCTGGGGGGCTCCCCAAGAGTTTAGGAACCCCGG